ATACGATCACTACATACAAAATAGTAACAACACTCGATAAAATTGATAGGGAAGAATTCCTGAGACCTGGAACTTCAAGAACAAGAGGACACAGACTCAAGCTAAGGAAACAAAGGTGCCGCAAAAACGTTAGAAAATTTTCTTTTCCAAACAGAGTGGTATACGATTGGAACAAGCTTAGTGAAAAGGTGGTGGAGGCCAAGACCGTCAGCATAGCTTCAAAGCATTATACGACAAAGAGTACTGGGAAGACGGGACACCACGAGCGTAGCTCTCATCCTGTAACTACACTTAGGTAATTACACACCCAAACGTTAACAGATCAACTACCCCAGCTGACAAGTTTACCAGTCATGGGGGGAAAGAGACACCAGGACACACAGCCAGCCGACTGACTTTACACAGCGTGTTACACAGACACAGACAGACACAAACAGCTGTTCAACACGCGCACTTACAAAAATAAAAGAGAGAGACTAAGCCATTACTTCCCAGAGCAATAACTCTCCAGAGACGTTAACAGACCTTAAATAAAAACAAACAGAGACTGGCATCATTAAGAGGGATGTGAGTCTCTCTCTTTTTCTCTCTCTCTCTCTCTCTCTCTCTCTCTCTCTCTCTCTCTCTCTCTCTCTCTCTCTCTCTCTCTCTCTCTCTCTCCCTCTCTCTCTCTCTCTCTCTGCCAACTCTTTTCAGAGCCCGAGTGTATTCACCCTTTCTAATTCTGCGAGTACCATAGTTGAGAGAGAGAGAGAGAGAGAGAGAGAGAGAGAGAGAGAGAGAGAGAGAGAGAGAGAGAGAGAGAGAGAGAGAGAGAGAGAGAGAGAGAGAGAGGAGAGTTGATGGTCTGATCGCTTTCATCTTTTAGCTTTCGAGTTTACGCGTTCCTTTAATGTGAATTCTCAATCATCTACATATTATAATCTATATATATATATATTTTTTTTCCTGCAAATCAATGTGTTTAATAAGCAGTGGGTTTGCTAATTACAAATTCTTGATTAGGTCTTCTGCTAGTCAATTAATTGGTTTAGCTTCAAAACTTTGGGACCACTAATTAGTGTGCATGCTAATCATGAAATCTAATACTCCAAAGAGCTGCTAATCGTTTGGTCTATTAATCAGCAGATTTATTAATCAATTGGGCCTCTACTCACTGGAGCGGCTAGGTAATGAGTTAACTAATTACTGGGGGATACTGATCAACATAGACGTGCTAATTTGATTATCTAATCACCCCTTTGTGACCACAATCACCCGTAAATAGTTTGACCTACTAACAGTGTGGCTTAGCTATTCACTAAATCCCCCCCGTACGACTGAATCTTCCAATCACTAGGAACTTTTTGGCTGTCCTCAATATCCCAATTAGTTCAGCCAACAGTACAGAAAAGCAATCCTTATTTCGTAAACGTATGTATTGTAAGTAATGTATCTTAAAGTTTCTCTTGCTTCTCGAAAATGCAAAGCCGGTTGTTGGATAATTTGATAATTTTCAGGCCATTAATGTCTGGGTTATGTCACAAAAATTCCCATAACGGCTCGACCGGTAAAACCGTTAAAAGCCGTTAAAACCGTTAAAACCAGTTTGTGGGCACAACTGTCGCATAAATCAAAATGTCGAGTGGGTGGCGAACCCCAGCCAGGGCAGAGTTGCAAATTGTCAACAGCAGTAGAGAGAGAGAGAGAGAGAGAGAGAGAGAGAGAGAGAGAGAGAGAGAGAGAGAGAGAGAGAGAGAGAGAGAGAGAGAGAGAGAGAGAGAGAGAGAGAGAGAGAGATCCTACAAGTACGACTGTTTCATTACCATCAAAGACTTGAATCCATAATGGTAGAGACAGATCAAGTCACGTCTGTAAGTTAATTAACATTCCTGTAGTGAGGAAGGGAAGTCAGGTGTATCTAAGAGCCGACCTCCTTACACCAGCTCTCTCTCTCTCACGTTTGTACACACCTGGTGGCCACACACCTGTGGGGTGTTGTGTGGAGTGCTCCACTACACACCCGACACGCACCTCGACTTGCCAAATGACACAGATTCTAGAGTCTGTTTACACAATTTACTCTTGCACAAAGGTTCAGTCATACTATCTTCTGATGGACGTCGTCAGAAGATCTTGACACACACACACACACACACACACACACACACACACACACACACACACACACACACACACACACACACACACACACACACACACACACACACAACTTTGGACAAGTTGTTAATAACAATACGGTCTCAAAGGGAAACACTCACGTAGCCTCATAGTTCCAGCTCAAGACAGCTTTCTACAACACAATTTTCCAACTCTACAACTCTACAACCATCCCTATTCTCCTCCTCCTTGCCTGGTTAATAACATCAATTGTCAACTTTGGTTTTCCCATGTTAGGCCGAATATTTGGGTCTTGCTTTTCAAGTTGTGGGTTGTGTATACTCACTTAGTTGTGCTTGCTGGGGGCTAAGTTTTAGCTCTTTGGTCCCGCCTCTCAACTGTTAGTCTACTGGTGTACAGATTCCTGAGTTTCTCGAGCTCTATCATATCTACATAGATGTGTGTATTAGAGAGAGAGAGAGAGAGAGAGAGAGAGAGAGAGAGAGAGAGAGAGAGAGAGAGAGAGAGAGAGAGAGAGAGAGAGAGAGAGAGAGAGAAAGAGAGAGAATGATAAACTATTTAGTTTTTCACAAAATTTCCTGCTCTTTCTGTCCTAATTTCTTTTATACATTTATTGTATTTACTCTCAAAAGGTACTGTATCCCCCCCCCCCCCGAGGCAGCGCCTGGCTGTGCTACAGTCTTTGACTGTATTTGTAAATACATACATTCCACCATTCCTATTACAGTCTTGAGTTTGCTAAGTCTGAGTTCGAGTCCTTCTTAGTATTGCAATTCACTTTATTTAACTTGTTTTCAAATACTTTCATGAATTTCCATGTAATTCACGTCTCAAAGTTTCTTTGTCTTTGGTTCAGTAATAATTTGAATGCATTTTCCAATCATGTAATGAAATTCCAGACTAAAGTTGGTTATCATAATAAAAAATATGCCTTATATGCGCTGTTCTTTGAGCCTTATATATAGGATTATATGCGTTGTTCTTTGGGCCTTATATCAAGGATATATTCGTTGTTCTTTGAACCTTATATCAAGGATTATATGCGTTGTTCTTTGAGCCTAATATCAAGGATTATATGCGCTGTTCTTTGAACCTTATATCAAGGGTTATATGCGCTGTTCTCTGAGCCTTATATATAGGATTTGCGCTGTTCTTTGAGCCTCATATCTAGGGGTTATATCACACACCAACCTCACCCTATACTTCTCTGCACGAACACCCATAAATCAATTACTATTTAATTTTACTAATCTATATTGACTTTGCAGCTATATGCAATCCTCTCAAGTCATGAATTTAACCCCCCAATATATTTGACATCGTCAGCAGTGCTAATATACCCGGTATATTCATATAGGTATATCATTGAAACACAAGGTATATCACACAAGAAATTTGAGAAAAGGAGGTGGTGACACCTGGTATTGGACTTAAAGACTTGATAAACACTATTAGTTAAGTCCAGTGGGATTGGTTTGTGGTTTGTTTGTCCTGTGTTTGTTTTGGTAATATGTTGTTTGGACTTTTCTAGCCAAACAAAGTATGTTTCGTATGGATTTGTAAACAAGACCTTGGGTATTCCGCTTGAAGTATTTGCTCCGCCTTGAAGTACTTGAAGTACTTAAATATAAGAAGCACTAAGACTGGCCCTTGAAGAACTCCACTTTAAATATAAGAAGCACTAAGACTGGCCCTTGAAGAACTCCACTTTAAATATAAGAGGCACTAAGACTGGCCCTTGAAGAACTCCACTTTAAATATAAGAGGCACTAAGAATTGGCCTTGAAGAACTCCACTTTAAATATAAGAGGCACTAAGAATGGCCCTTGAAGAACTCCACTTTAAATATAAGAGGCACTAAGACTGGCCCTTGAAGAACTCCACTTTAAATATAAGAGGCACTAAGAATGGCCCTTGAAGAACTCCACTTTAAATATAAGAGGCACTAAGACTGGCCCTTGAAGAACTCCACTTTAAATATAAGAGGCACTAAGAATGGCCCTTGAAGAACTCCACTTTAAATATAAGAGGCACTAAGAATGGCCCTTGAAGAACTCCACTTTAAATATAAGAGGCACTAAGAATGGCCCTTGAAGAACTCCACTTTAAATATAAGAGGCACTAAGAATGGCCCTTGAAGAACTCCACTGGACACTCTTCGCCATAATAGCACATATATCTATTGATGTTCTTGTCTTATCAATTTTTTTGGAACCTATTTGTTATGCAATTCTTTAAATGAGTCTGGATTAATAATTGATGTCCTTCTCTTCCACAGGACCTGCACCTATATAAAAATATCCCCCTGCCTGCCAGCCGACTCCTGTATAGAGTCAGGAATGCCTATAACCTGCTCCACAGCCCTTATAAACAAAACTCCCTTGGCAGCGAGTCATGGTTGATATTGGAAGGACTTCATTGATAGGGGTAGTTTAGAGGGGGAAGTGAGACGGGTGAATAGGCACAAAGAATGGGTTAAAGAGGGAGAAGGGGGGGGGTCATTTTAGCCGCCTGTCTGTCTGTCGATCTGTCTGTCACAGTCACTTTCTGCGCGGCTTTCACAAGCAGCCCTCACGATAATTGGATTGGTTAAGCGAACGGATGGTGGAGCCGGAAGAAACAAACAATTGGATTTCATCTAATTCAGCAGTGACGGGCCAACAAGCCAACGTGGGGGCCGAGGAACTGGACACAAGTCCTCGGAAAACTGTCCCAGGAGGCGTGATACTTGAGAGAAGGAGGAGGAAGTGTCTCCAGGAAGTAGGAGGACATCAAGGAAGTACCTCACCCAGATACACTGACCAATGGAAGACATGGACACTTCCTGGAAAGGCGAAGACGGCGTTAAATCCTGCCATTAAATGTCTCTTCCAGCCAACTTGCTGGATCCATTTTTCCAGCAAGAATGGATCTTGCTGGATCCATTTTTCCAGCAAGAATGGATCTTGCTGGATCCATTTTTCCAGCAAGAATGGATCTTGCTGGATCCATTTTTCCAGCAAGAATGGATCTTGCTGGATCCATTTTTCCAGCAAGAATGGATCTTGCTGGATCCATTTTTCCAGCAAGAATGGATCTTGCTGGATCCATTTTTCCAGCAAGAATGGATCTTGCTGGATCCATTCTTGTCAGGCGTCAGATCGTAGGTATTACGATCATTTCCAGTTGGTGATGGTATTAAGGAGTTATCATTGGGGAGCCGGTCGGCCGAGCGGACAGCACGCTGGACTTGTGATCCTATGGTCCTGGGTTCGATTCCAGGCGCCGGCGAGAAACAATGGGCAGAGTTTCTTTCACCCTATGCCCCTGTTATTTAGCAGTAAATAGGTACCTGGGTGTTAGTCAGCTGTCATGGGCTGCTTCCTCGGGGTGGAGGCCTGGTCGAGGACCGGGCCACGGGGACACTAAAGCCCCGAAATCATCTCAAGATAACCTCAAGATTGTCCTCGAGCACCCTGTTATCGTACTCGAGGTGTTAGGAACCGTACGAATTTTTCAGTGTCTGAATAGTTAACAGGTGGAATGCATTAGGTATTAATGTGGTGGAGGCTGACTCCAGACGCAGTTTCAAATGTAGATATGATAGAGCCCAGTAGGCTCAGGAACCTGTACACCAGTTGATTAACGGTTGAGAGGCGGGACCAAAGAGCTAGAGCTCAACCCCCGCAAAGCACAATTAAGTGAGTACAACAGACTGAAGATATCAACACTCCCGCCACCACCAATCAACGTCGAGGAACTTAGAAAAAAAAACTCAAACACAAGATAAGAACAGGGACTTATTTCCACAAGACCCCCCCCCCCCCCTTTGCTTACCAACTCATCAACACCCCCTGTATCATCACACAGATGGTACAGATGAAACAGATCACCCACTGTGATGACTACACCCACCACCACGGATGATATATATATATATATATATATATATATATATATGTCGTACCTAGTAGCCAGAACGCACTTCTCAGCCTACTATGCAAGGCCCGATTTGCCTAATAAGCCAAGTTTTCATGAAATAATTGTTTTTCGACTACCTAACCTACCTAACCTAACCTAACCTAACTTTTTCGGCTACCTAACCTAACCTAACCTATAAAGATAGGTTAGGTTAGGTTAGGTAGGGTTGGTTAGGTTCGGTCATATATCTACATTAATTTTAACTCCAATAAAAAAAAATTGACCTCATACATAATGAAATGGGTAGCTTTATCATTTCATAAGAAAAAAATTTGAGAAAATATATTAATTCAGAAAAACTTGGCTTATTAGGCAAATCGGGCCTTGCATAGTTGGCCAAAAAGTGCGTTCTGGCTACTAGGTACGACATATATATATATATATATATATATATATATATATATATATATATATATAAACCTCAATAAACTCATTTAAATTTGAATATGGGCTCAACCTGAAGCTATTTCTATATGTATTAAGTTTCTATTCGTATCTATAGCCATGGCGACCCCTCGTGAAGAAGGGTTGGGGGAGGAGGGGGTGATGGGAAGGGTGGAGTATGCCCCCCTTAACATCTAATGGTTTAATCCAGCTGATGAAATTTTTCAATGGGGTTTAATGAGTTTGTGTTGTCGGACAGATCATATGGGGAAATTAAATGGAAAAATATGGAGAGAAAGGGAGGAGAATGGAGAGAACGAGAGGAAGAGATAAAGAATTGGAGTCAGGAAGGAGACAAAAAAAGAAAGAATTAATATCAGTGAACGATACCTGTCTCAGTGATGCAAATTCTTACCTAGCGTCGTCTCAGGGTCCACATTTCTCAGAACCACAGACATTTTCAATTTGGCCGGGGAGGCTAGTGTATTGGGCAGTGTCACTCTTCCTGTGAGTGAACACACTCCAAATATGGACAGTATTGGGCAGTGTCACTCTTCCTGTGAGTGAACACACTCCAAATATGGACAGTATTGGACAGTGTCACTCTTCCTGTGAGTGAACACACTCCAAATATGGACAGTATTGGGCAGTGTCACTCATCCTGTGAGTGAACACACTCCAAATATGGACAGTATTGGACAGTGTCACTCATCCTGTGAGTGAACACACTGCAAATAAGGACAGTATTGGACAGTGTCACTCATCCTGTGAGTGAACACACTGCAGATAAGGACAGTATTGGACAGTGTTACTCATCCTGTGAGTGAACACACTCCAAATAAGGACAGTATTGAACAGTGTTACTCATCCTGTGAGTGAACACTGCAGATAAGGACAGTATTGGACAGTGTTACTCATCCTGTGAGTGAATACACTCCAAATAAGGACAGTATTGAACAGTGTTACTCATCCTGTGAGTGAACACACTGCAAATAAGGGTAGTATTGAACAGTGTCACTCACCTCTTGGTTGAACATACTATCTTATGAACATGTCATTCTAATCCAATCAGTTCATCCTTATTGACGTTGTAAATCCGCTCTGGGACTGTTGCAACATTTGCAATTACTCAATTATCATTAGTAATTGCAGCAAATACAATATATTTTTGTAAAATGATACTAATAATAACTATTATTATTACTAATAAGGAAGAAAATAACTCAATTCTATGTTTGTTTACAATATGAAAAGCCGCGACAACTTGTATAAACTCCAGGTATAAACACAGGGTAAAAATATAAGGTAAATGAAAACAAAAGAGACTCAATATTAGCCCTTAATGATACTAAATGCTACGTATCATAATCAACGCTAATTATAAAATACATAATTTCCATTGCTATAAAAGTACAACTCTTTTTTTTAGAAGTTGAACGTTTATAATACCATCAAGTCGAGTTTTCAAAAAGGGTTCAAAGCGGAAATATTATATTCAAAGTCCCTTTACCGGTACGGGATTCTCCCGCCATTTTGCTAATTTTAATTTTTCTAATCCTAATTTTACCTAGAATACGACCCGCCAAATCGTTTAGCAACCAGGTAAACCATTTTACTGTTGGGTGAACAGAGGCTACAGTTAAGGATTGGCGCCCAGTCAATCCTTCCCTGGCCAGGATATGAACCCAGGCCAAAGCGCTTACGAAGCGCCGGACAAGTGCTTTACCACTGCGCCACGGGGAAGCCAAAACTAAAATAAAACTCGGATTTCTTGCCGCTGCGAGGAATGATTAATCACCAACTACCATCGTAACATCCTCCCCCCGAAGGTTCCGTTCAGCCTTTTAATCCTTGGTACATCCTCAGTGATCCATCTCTCTCTTTATGACCTCTCATTTGTCCAGAGTGATGTGAAGGGGAGGCAATGTTTGTCATCCTCAGTCATTCTCTTTAGTCTGCCCTGAATGCAGTCGAGGGAGAACGGGGTGGGTACGTTTTCTATGATTCGTCATGCTTGGCGGGAGATGCCAACGCGTTATTAATGACAAAGACGAATAGGAATTGAGGAGAATAATTTTATGGAAGAGACGTGGAAGATGGAAAGGATCCGAAATGGGTGGAAGGGAAGGGCGGGGAGGGGGAGGCTATTCAGACAAGCTTTCCGTCACATGAAAGAAGTTCAAAAGTGGGCTTTTTGGGCGTCTGGAACAAGGGGGGACTCTTGCATCAGTCTGGCGGCCATTTTGCCGCCAAGATGCAGCAAAATGCTCTCTCAGTGTTCAGCCTAACCACTTGGGCTGGACGGTAGAGCGACGGTCTCGCTTCATGCAGGTCGGCGTTCAATCCCAGACCGTCCAAGTAGTTGGGCACCATTCCTTTCCCCCGTTCCATCCCAAATCCTTATCCTGACCCCTTCCCAGTGCTATATAGTCGTAATGGCTTGGCGCTTTCCCCCTGATAATTTCCTCCCTCCCTCCTATGCTGATGACAGTACTTCTAATAGGAAAAAAAGTTAACTATAACACTATAAAATGAGTATAAATTCAAAGTACTTATAAGGAGACTGCTCCTATAATCAGTACGACTATAAAATGAGGGGAAGGAATGGTGCCCAACCACTTTATGGCCGGTCGGGGGATTGAACGCGGACCTGCACGAAGCGTCGCTCTACCGGCCTGCTATCAACAGGCCTTCTGCTGCATTCTATATTAAAATCTTATGATACGTCCTATCGCGTGGGGGAGATAGAGAGAGAGAGGGGGAAGAAAGCGGTAAGATTTCTCCTATATTAAGGGGGTCTAAACCCCCCTCTCTTTTCAAAAGAAGGGGGGGCTTCACCCCCTATTATCACGAGGCAGCAACCAATATTGACCTCTCCAAGCGGGGCGGCGGTGGTGACCTAATTTAATTAATGTATCAAACATTCCCGAATGAAATGTATTTGATGTCGTCACTCATCCTGGGAATTATAACAACCTATACCCCCCTAAAGCCCCATGTACAACACCCCCAAGCAGTTGGAAACAATCCCAGTGGGTTGTTCATCCTGTCATTTGTATTCCCAGAGAGAGAGAGAGAGAGAGCTGGGTCTTTCTGACCTATGATAAAAATATTGTGAAATGAAAATCTAGCAATCCGCATCTAGCAATCCGCATCTAGCAATCCGCATCTAGCAATCCGCATCTAGCAATCCGCATCTAGCAATCCGCATCTAGCAATCCGCATCTAGCAATCCGCATCTAGCAATCCGCATCTAGCAATCCGCATCTAGCAATCCGCATCTAGCAATCCGCAAGCTCAATTATTTTGTGTTGACCCTATGTTGCTGACCTGTGATGAATTGAGGGTATTGATCTGTGATGAACTGAGGGTATTGACCCGTGATGAATTCAGGGCATTGACCTTTGATTACTTGAAGGAGGGAGGGGGGGGGGGGTTGATATATAATGACCGTGTGTGGTTGACCAGTATTGACCTTCGGTGGTCGACCTGTGATGACCTATGGTGTTGACCTTTGACCTGTAATAACCCGTTCTGGCGTATAGTGACCCCAATTATGACCAACTATGAAGGTTCCAATATTATGAAAGGGCCTAAATGAATTGAATTAAATTTACAAAAAAATCCATCAAACAAACACAAAATTTGCCCAAAACGACAAAAAAATGCAACTATATTTTATTAAGGTAATTTTGACTATATAAATTATAGAGTTTTTAGAATGTATTAAAACAAAAAATATTAAGCGAACGTAGATTAATACGGACACAAGTCACGTTC